CTCATCTTACCTTTTCTCTGCCTTTGTGTCTGTCTGTCTGACTTTCCTATCTGTGAACCACTCTTCTGCTCCCCCTCTCGACTTTTCTCACTTTGATATTCCACCCCTCTGTGAAGCCCGAAGTCAGCTTAAGGGCTAATGATAACCATCAAAACGCCTGCCATTTGAAATGGATAAATATATTTAAAACACTTACCTCTCTCTCCCACACACCCCTACTCCACCCCACATGGTTGGCGATTATTTGTTTCTCGTCACCTCACTTGGCTCTGCATCCTTGATTCGATGAAATGTGATTATTTTAGGGGTAACCTTAACTGCTAACTGTTACTTCTATAAAGATACGCTTACTTAGGAGTCAGTTGACTAATAAAAGAAGGAATGGTCCAACCAGGTGTGAGAACGTAGAGTTCTATTAAGTAGACTTGGTTTATGCTCATAATGGGAAATTATTGTTTTAGCTGATAAGTTAGAGGCGTTTATGGTAGACTGCCGAAATCGCGTCATGTAGGCGAAATTGATTGAATTCACAGAATTTTCAACTTGAACTACCCGATCTGAAGTCAGATGTGAGATGAAAGTACTTTAATTGTTATTCATTACTGTATACTTTTGGAACAATAAGTGTATGATTGCCATCTCGAAACAAATATGCAATGATTTACCTACCTAGAACACCAAAATATCCATTGTTTAAACAAACTATGCGCAGTGGTTTAAAGAAGCCTCAGAATGGCTATTTATGTTGAAAGTACAGGTTAGTTGATATGGGGATTGATTGGAGATCTAATTACTATGAATTTACGATAATGCTAACTAAGGGGGTTAGAAATTACTAGGAGTAATTGTTATGCCTTTGTTAATACTGAAATCGAAGGTCAATGATGATGTTCTATTCTTTGCTCATCAATTAAGTAAAATAAGGTTAAAGTCATTATAACTGTAAATGCTGAAGTTTCAAATTGCACATATGCTATTAGAATGCACGACTATCAAAGGGATGTGGAATAGAATTAGCAAACGTTCCCAATTTGATAAACGACGGCGCTTAACCATCAAATATCCGCTTTCATCCTCGAAATCATTTACGCCTCGGGTTTCTAATTGCCCATACACAAACGCGGTTCTTTAATGTGCAAAGGAACCTGCATTTTCCCTATTAATGGATTATTTCCTCTCATCTCGGTTTGCTCTCAGTAGGGAAACTCTCACATTTACCCTTTAGTTCAACAGTGAGAAACTGCTGGAATTTTTCCCTGGGGTGGGGGTGGAGGAGGGGGAGGGGGGTTACAGGTGCGGGATGAACATTAATGGCAGATTGTCGCCCCATTATACATACTTCTCTCACCCTCAGCTATACACGTTCACTCCTCTCCCCAAAACCACAACTTGATGTCCTCTCATTCACCTACCCCCGCCCCTCTCCCTTCACCCCCNCCCCCACCCCCCCCCACCCCGATAGCTCCTGTTCTGACTAGACCAAACCATTTTTTCGCTACATCTGTGCTGCTGGTGGTAGAGCTGGACTGGTCTCGGCTTTGTGGTTAATTGGCGGTTATAATGTAACTTTCCTTTCACTCATTGCGTGACTGTAAGTGCTTTTTGAAAAAAGACCTCTTGCCTTATTTTTCCCTTCTGTTGTAAAAGTGTCTTTACACCGGAGAAGTGTCAAATTAACCTCCCTTAACCCATTTAAGTTTACGTATAAATTAGACATTATCTTTCATTAATTGTGAAAATATTTCGCGATTGGCAGTGGAGAAAGAATTCAACGCATAAAACCTCAACCAGCTTTTTATCTTTTAAAAAAAATGTATTCAAATTCATTTATTACCTATATATCTAGTAATTCCATACAGTTGATTAGATCTTAGATAGCCTTTCGTTAAAAAAGTGCTGACTATTGATCTTGACAGTTATGAAGTTGCGTGGGAAGGTACAGAAGTTGAGTAATGCAAAACACTTTTTAGTCTCCAAAAAGTGCTTATTAGTCTTATATATTTCGATTACTAAACCCGTTGAAGGGAAGTGTTTTGTGCTGATTCAACTTGGAGGAAGTGCAACAATCTGGAGCCTCTCTCATGTCAGTCTCTCTGATCTTTCACAACACCAACTATCCAACTAGAATTGAGTTAGGACTCATGTAGTTCGTGATCGCAACAACACTGCTGCCAATACTTGTTTGTGGAAGGAAGGCAATAAAATTCCCAGTGTCATGTGCAGTGCGTACCTCCCCCCCCCCCCCCCGGCTGAACATCAAACATTTTTTAAGAAATAACTTTTCTAATTATGATAAAGACATCAATTGGCTTCGCATGAATATTATCGTGAAATTTCAAAAAGGAAATTAATCATTGTGTTTTTTGAACGGTGGTAGTCAATATCTCTTACTTAATCCTTCAGTGAACATGTGACCTCGTACTATTGACTATATTATTGCCGGCTTGATTTCGTGTGGGTCTGAGCACTCTAGTCAAGTTATATGATTGAAACTTTTGGCTATATTTTGGCAAATGCTGGAACTTATACGCTATTTACTGATAGGGTAAATATTCTTATTGCCGCGTGACTAGTTGCATTTATCCCAATTGACTCAGTGGGTCCTCAGTTTATGCCAAAATTTGGCGGTCAGTAGATTTGAAGTGATATGACGTAAAGTTAAATTTGTGTGTAAACGCTTCCTACCACAACTATTTGTTTACTACCGTGAGGCGTTTACGCCACGCTTTTAGGCTCCAATTACTCGAGTAAGCTATTTCTCTATCAGTCATTTATTATCAGGGCGTTATGGATTTGGGCGACGTAAATGAACCGATTTGATGTAGTTGCTTATGGAAATTTCCGCCTTTTTGCGGGCTGAAGTGGCAAAACGAAACAGATATTTCTCGAACTAGTATTGACCTATCCTAGAAGAGCAATTAAGATGACTTACATTTGTATTATTTCATGATAACAGTCCCGTAAATGTGCATAATCGGTTGATGTAGTTATACACCGCAGAGCCACAACGACCCCTCTTGCGAGTGCTGCTGTAGCCCAACATCTCATCAGTAGTAACTTGCTCGATGTTGTTGAACTATAATGTGCAACATTGAGTGAGTGAACCGCTAGTGCGAGTGGCTGGTGGTCAATATGTGCTTTTGTCAAGCCAAATATTACCAGATATTTATTTATTTCAAATGGCAGGCGTTATGATTGGTATCATTAGCCCTTTAGTTGACTTCGGGCTTCACAGAAAGGAAGAGGAACATCCAAGTGGTAAAAAGTCGAGAGGGGGAAGAATAATGATTCACAGACGTAAGAGAGGCAGACAGACACAAAGGTAGAAAAAAGATGAGGTGAATTCTGTGGAATTATTCGAATATGAAATGCAATGGGGTCATGGTAGTCTGAAGTCCAGTAGTCGAATTTGACATACAGTGGGGTGATTGTAGTTTGAAGTCATGTCAAATGCCGGTTAATAGACTTTTTTGCCGTATGAGAATGACTTTTTTTGCCGTATGAGTATAACGAAAGCCGAGTGATAGACTTTTTTGCCGTAAGAAAATACGCTGCCCAGGGTGCACCACGTGGAGGTAAGTCTATCGCACACAAACTTCCGGTTAATAGACTTTTTACCGTATGAGTATACGTTTCCCAGGGTGCACCACGTGGAGGTAAGTCTATCGCACACCCACCAGGGTGCACCACGTGGAGGTAAGTCTATCGCACACCCCTTGTCAGGGTGCACCACGTGGAGGTAAGTCTATCGCACACCCCAGCATTACCAGATAGATGTGGCCAGTATTGTCAGCTACTTCTGGTCAACCCAACCAGTGAAGATAAGAGATTCGCCTCTTAACTCCGGGACTTCTTCAATGCAATTTTGCATGGACTTGGAAAGTCGGCATCTTTAATTTTTTTAGAAACTGGAATAAGTCTAATTGAAATACGGTGATTTCTTGAGTTTTTTGTAGTTCTTTCATATTTAGAAAGCGATCCAATTGTTTTCCAAAAGTTAGAAAATAACAGCATGGGAATCAATGTATGAATATGGTTTGGTAGCATACTAGTTGAGATACCTTTGTTGTCACAAAAAAGTAGGTCACTTTAGAAATGTTAAGTTAAAACTGCTTTAAATGAGAGTTTCTTAAAAGAATAAAGGCAGATTCAACTGCTATTTTCTTGAGGGAAAAAATGATTAATATTAGATCATTCTTCTCTATGAGCATATTTGAAAAGTGATTCCAACATCTTTTTCTTTTAATTGGTAGGAAAATGAAAGAAGACATAAATATGGACCCATCAGCTTCTAATTATCGTATTTTGGAAGACAATAATCGGTACTTCTGCTAATATTAGAATAAAGTTGAAAACACAATTTTAAATGTTATAATTATATAGTCTCTTTAATTGATTTTATATTATCTCACATCCTTCAGATTTATGTTTTATTATAAGATATTGTGTATGCAACCCAAAATCACTCAATTATAAATAAAACGCAAGGGGAAATAATGAATTATTTATCTATACACTGCAAAGTAACTGAAGTCAATGCATCCGGTATGAGTTTATGTACAACATTCTGCCTTAATTGTCTTGAAATACGGTGCATGTAATGATTCAGCAGTGAAAGACAATGTGTTTGCATTGAACAAAAGTCAAAGATTCAAGTATCACACATTCACACAAGGAGCAGAGATGGTTAAGTTGAGTAAGATCCTTAGCGATTGAGCATCAGTGTTGTTCCGTCAAATTGTGGGGACAGAAGAGAAGGTAAAAGTGGAATAGATGTTGGTAGCGGTGGTGGAAGGGGAAAAGAAGGCAATGATTTGGAATTCACTGCAGCTGAATCCCATGTATTCATCAACCGCATCAACCGTTCTGATAGAGAGGCTCCAGGTTCTGAATTCGCGGTAGGATATCTCGGTATGGAAAGGTCGTCGGGAGTTACTTGAACAGGAGACGTTGCATTCGATGTAGTCATATCCAAAGGTGCCCTATTATTTAGAGAATCAGAGTAAGCTTCTGGAAGGAGTCGTTGAAGTGGAGTAGAAATTTGTTTTCTGAAAGCGTGGAAAGCGTGCGTTGTACCCATTCCATATGTGTGAGACAAAGGATTCCGTCGGGCAATCGGACTCGCTGTTGGATCAAACTTTCCTCGTGGAAGAAACTGAAATAACCAAATCTAAATTATCACCTTGATCTCTCCTTTTCTATGTACGATTAGACTAAACTATCTTCTTACTTGATTAGGTTGGAATCCCATGAGATACTTCGAAAAGGCCGAATGATTTTGTTCATTAGAAAGTAGGTTCTCAAACATTTTCATATTTACTGGTGGAACTGGAGGCATCGCTGGCTTGCAAGGATCGGCCACTTGTTCAGAAGAAGCGTGTGGATTCATAAAGGATGCCTTTTCATTCTCGCATCTACTCGGACCTACGACACGAGATCGGAATGCCGATGGAGGAATATCTGTTGGTAATCTCTGATTTCTCCTGATTTCAGCTCTAGGACCAATAGGTCGCAATTTTTGAACGCTGTTAGCTGAGAATGGTTCGCTTTCAGAGCACAGGTCACCACCACGTCGGAAATAGTGAGCAACCAATTCATTATACAGCCGTTGTCTCTCGCTATCTGACATTGATAAGAGCTCTGCATGCCGCCGAATCGTGTGACGCTTGATCGTATCCAGTTTTCGTTGAGTCATTATCTTCTTGCACACCAAGCACATAACCTAAAGTTCAGGAAAGGTGAAAATCCCTTTAGAAAATGGGAAAACAAAAAGAAATGTAATAGCACAAAAGTGCTATGAAGGCATGTGTGAAGGAGGAGGAGGAGGAAATGAATCACGTTAGATAGCAGTAGCCTCTTTCGCAATGTCACCTCAATGGTTGAACACAACTATAATACAGACGCCTATTGGCGCCTACACGTCTGCCAGAAGACAACTGTTCTTAACACTTTCACTGTATCAAAGGCGCCGTCGTATAACAATTATGTATTTCCCCTTCGAGGTCCCTTCCCCTCCGTCCTAGATGACTTGTAGACATATTGGCGCCTCCAATACTTGACGTCAGCTGTTGATTCGCATTTTTTGCCTCGTGCATGCATACGTTATCTTCTACCACAATGTATTAAAAGTGTTTGATATTCCAACTCGCCTAGGTACGCGAAAGAAGAAACAAATTTTGATCTTCAAGCATCAACTGTCACGTAGGTGGCGCTATTAGACCTCCCCAGTTCGACCGCAACTTTTAATGTGGTCAAGTGAGGTCACAGAACCTGTACCACCCACGCTGTGTGTGTGTGTGCAAGAAATTTATTGCTTTCTGTTGATGGGGCAACCCAGGAGACATCTAGTTTGGTACCTTAGCACTCTTAGTTTAATAGGCCTAAATGTATCTGGGCACTTAAAAATGTGTGGTGACATTCGCTCTCCACGTATGGTTTCTATGTCCGACTTTTAAGAATTTTACAAAAACAGCGTGAGAGAATTTCACGCAAAATGGACAGCTCTAATATTGGAGGGGTAGTACATTAAGCGACAAGTATTCAAGCCTCCTCGCATATGGTGAAGACAACCACACAAAAATGAAGCCATCTGTCTTTCTAATAGCACTCGATTTCCCCATTTAGGACGGAGAAATTGGCTAGGATTCCCACCATTTTGTGGTAAAAGTGTTGGTGGAAATGGGAGGGGGGGGGGGGGGGGGGGGGGGGGGG